CATAGATGTGGCAAGGTTGCATGTGTTCGCGCATGAGGTTTAGCTGTGCGTTTGGGGCGAAATGTGTGTAACCGGTAGGGGACGGTGGTGGTAAGGCCTCATGGGGGTGAATGCGGGAAACGGCCGCCGTTTACCCAAGACGTTGTTGCATGTTGCGGCCAAGCTATCCCTGGATAGCCCTTCACATATGCTATCCACTGGTGCCAGTGCGGTCGCGAACTTCAACGTGGGTGAAACGCTATGCCGTACGCGGTGCCGTACGCTTGGTGGTTGGTGGAGGGCGGTTTGTGACGTGGATGCCCATATCTGCTCCATCCCTTTGCTGTTTTGAGCCCGGATTGCGGCTATGGCTTCCTCTTAGAGTGCTCATAGATGTGGCAAGGTTGCATGTGTTCGCGCATGAGGTTTAGCTGTGCGTTTGGGGCGAAATGTGTGTAACCGGTAGGGGACGGTGGTGGTAAGGCCTCATGGGGGTGAATGCGGGAAACGGCCGCCGTTTACCCAAGACGTTGTTGCATGTTGCGGCCAAGCTATCCCTGGATAGCCCTTCACATATGCTATCCACTGGTGCCAGTGCGGTCGCGAACTTCAACGTGGGTGAAACGCTATGCCGTACGCGGTGCCGTACGCTTGGTGGTTGGTGGAGGGCGGTTTGTGACGTGGATGCCCATATCTGCTCCATCCCTTTGCTGTTTTGAGCCCGGATTGCGGCTATGGCTTCCTCTTAGAGTGCTCATAGATGTGGCAAGGTTGCATGTGTTCGCGCATGAGGTTTAGCTGCACATGGGGCCCGGCTAGCACGACAGCAGTACGGAGCTTCATGCTAAGAGCTAATGAGACCGCTTGTAAACAATACATAAACCAGTACTTGTTATTTACAAAAGATTGAAGTGGGCTATAATCTACCGGGTTAACTAGTTACCTGGTACCGACGAGTGATGCAAGCGTAGCGTCCCCGTCTTCACCTTTACAGCAAACTTCAATTATTAGCAGCCGAATTTGGCATCCTATTATACTTTTGTCAATTTGGGTTAAGCTGTTCGCATTGACAAAGGACCCGGAACCTTAAGATTCTGCCGACGGCGACACATAAAACGTCGGCCCTGATGGAAGGATTTAATTCAAGAGAATTAGCAGGCTCTCCTGACTCGCCAGGAGATGCCATCCCGCAAAACGAGTGCTTGCTTGCCGGCACTAGGACTGCGACGCTCACCATGTCGGTAGATGTCTTTGCGACGGGTGCCACGAACTTTCAGTGTTCAGCGACAAACAATATAATCGATCAGCATCTCTCAGAGGTCTCCGTGGAATGGTCTGGTCGCCTTCTGCCGGTCTTGGAGTTTCTCAAATCCGTTCTGTTCCTATCACTGGGAATCCAGTATCATGCTGCTCCTCCCCATGCCCAGTTGGGTGGCAATGGCAGTGGGATCGCACCGGAGGGGGCGCATGATGCACGCACGATGTACCCCGGTAGGTATCCTGTATATCAGCCACATGACCTACACAACTTAACTCTGTGTTGACGTTATGGTTTGCAGGGGACACCATGCATTCCTTCTAAGCTACCTTTGTTTGGACAGCTATTGACGAGCCTTTCCCTTAACATTGCTTCCATATCTTGGCTGTGACCCACAGAGCTCAACAAATGGATGGACTGGTTGTATCCCTTCAACCTAAAGACCATCCAGCTCCGCAACATAATTACTCCCATGCGGCAGCTTGCAAAGGGGCTAAACTTCGTGGAGATTCCCACATGGTGGCTGCAAGCAATTGAGTGGGCACCGACAGCCTCAATGGTAAGCAGGGTGCTCTTTTTGCCATACAGTAATGTGTTCAAACACGGGGATTGTGGCGGTTTAGTGGCAGTCGTATAAAGTACCATAGCCTCCCCAACCTTATTTGCTTGCCGCCGTTGCAGCCCAAGAACCTGGCAGCCATGCATGTGGCCTGGTTCATCAAGTCTGCATTTGACCGCGTGCAAGCGGGATTCGACATGCCAGCCATTGTTGCCTGCCTCAAGAAGCTCAAGTACGTAATTTTGGGGGCCAAGATGCAGGGATCATTGTTTGGGGCAAGAGGCAGAGACCGTTGTTGAAGGGCAAGAGACAGGGACAATTATTGATTAAAGCCCAAGCCTAAAACTTTACCACATCATTAACCTCCATTAAACCCCGTTGCATAAAACCCAACCCAGGAGCGAGAATGATGCTGGGAGGGGAAACAAGCAGGCTTGGCCTAACGAGGAGGCCATGAAGCCCTTGGTGGAGTTGATTTCTGCACTGGAGGTCATGGCGTCATCGGTGCCTCAGCAACTGGCAGGTGGCTATGTGGCTCCTCCTGCCACCACCCATGTCGAGGCCACGGCAGCAGCTGCAACTGGCTGCAAGCTCGCGGGGTCAAGTGGTTCCGCTGCTGCTGCAGAGCCTGCAGCAGCTGCACCCGGCTGCGGACTTGCGGGGTCAAGTGGTTCCGCCGCTGCTACAGAGCCTGCAGCAGCTGCAACCGGCTGCGAGCTCGTGGGGTCAAGTGGTGACCTTGTTCCGATTGTGGCCACTGCTGGTGACAGCATGGTGGCAGCTGCTGGTGACGTCGCGGCTGGCCTTCATCAGATCGAAGATGGTGTTGGGTTGCCACCCATGAAGAGGTCACGTCCCACTGTCACCAGTCATGTTACGGGGGCTGAGGGGGCTGAGGGGGCTGAGGGGGCTGAGGGGGCTGAGGGGGCTGAGAGGGCTGAGGGGGCTGAGGGGGCTGAGGGGGCTGAGGGGGCTGAGGGGATTGACAGCGATGCAAGCAGCAACAGCGAGGGAGGGGGAAGCAAGGGGGATGGTGAATACGTGAGCAGCGACTCTGACAATGAGGAGGAGGTGGTTACTCGCCATGGTAAGCTTGATGACATTCCACGAGGGGCGCTCGCATACTTCAAATCTGCCAGCAAAAAGGAGCAGGACGCTGCCCTTGCCATTTTCGATGGTCAAGGCAGCCCCACGGACGTCCTGGCGAGGTTTGGCATAAACCTCAAGCTTAGGCGGCAGGACCTTCGGCGCCTTGCCCCTGGTCTTCCTGGCAACGGGTCCTGGCTAAACGACGAACTGATCAACGCGGCCGTTACCTTCATGCAGGTGCGGTTGGAATGTAAGGAGTCGTCCATAGTATTGCTCGTATTTTATTTATTTTACGTTCGTTTTTAACCTATTCATTTTCCGGCCCCAATGAACAGCCCCAAGGTATTCTCTTCCCAATTTGATCTTCTGTACCTGCTACACCTATCCTTGATTTCCTTTTCAGGTGAGGAACTTCACGGTACGGAGGGGCCGGCTGTATAGGGGCCCGGGCATCAGCCTCTTCCTGTCGTCTTTCTTCTATGGGAAGCTGACCAAGGAGGGGCCTAGGGCCAAGTGGTATCGTGTCCAGCGCTGGACCAAACCTGAGCGCCTGCAAAAGATGCAGGTAGATACGTGGGAATCTTACTACTGGGTTAAACAGCGCTGTATAGGACGCCTTAATTAAATTTAAAATCAATTATAATTCGCAAACATTTTCCTTGTCCGTTCTTTATGCAGGTGGGTTTGGCTTTGCCGCCGGTGCACGAGATGGAATTCGTCCTGGTGCCAATCCACTTCAGCCAAAACCACTGGTTCCTGGTGGAGATCAACATGTCGAAGCAGGCAGTGCGCGTCTATGACTCGGTAAGTTTTAGGGCTTTCCGTTAGGATAATCGTTTTGGATCCTCGACAGCGCAAAACACTGATTCCTTCCCTCTACTTGGGCCCGTATAAATATAATCGGTTGCCATAATTCTGACAATTTCCAAATAATTACCGAGAATAAAACATCAGTAAAGCAGTTTCCTTGATATATCCATGCATGCCACAGATGAAGAGGGAGCTGCACGACTACATGGAGCTCGTCAACAACTTGAAGCACTGGGTTAAGCGTGAGGCAGCTGTACGCCACCGTGTGCGCCTGGACATGCGGACGTGGGACGTAAAGCTGGTGGAGGTTCCGCAGCAGGGGAACACGGACGACTGCGGTGTTTACACTATCTTCTTTGCGGAGCACCTGTCTTTGGGGCTCCCCATCCCGGAGCTGACACCGGAGGAGGTTCCCAAGCTGCGCTTTTCGTACATGCGGCGGTTCCTGCAACACTGGAACCTGCGCCAGTAGCTAGGGTGCATGGCGGGGCGTAGCAAGGCCCCTTTAGTGATAACGAACAACGGTTTTTGCCCATTTTTCCTGTGCTCGCCATCAATGGGGCAACTGCAAGGAGTGTGCCCCCGTAATCTATGTGTCTAGCTGAGGCCGCTGCTTATGTTCGTGTGTCAAACGGTTAAGTATTGGCAAAGATATAAATTTGTGAACTGAAGAGTTTTGTTCACGCTGCCAGTATCATGCTGCCACGCTGCTTACTTGTGCCCGAATTCAGTTGGGTTCATTACTCAGCTATGCATGGATAAGGGTTTACAATGGCTGCCCTGCACGCAGCTTAGCGATCTCATGCTCTCTCTCTCTCTCTCTCTCTCTCGAAGAGTGGAATTTAATTAAGAATCCAATCCTGTAATCCCAAGCAAGTCCGTAGGCACGTTTCCAAAAAAAGAAACCATATTTACCAACCTATGCACGATAAACACCTGCAGCCAAACATCGAATATTACGTGTCATATTCTACGACATAACGGACTTCAATAATTGCATTTCTCAGCAATTTCACCCCTGCATTAGTTGTTGTCTCTCTAATCCTGCAAAGACCATGCATTTCGTACGACATGAAATTAGCTTAGATCATCTCATGCTTTCTGGCATAAGGCGCAATAATCAGCCGCGCTTCTTAATGACTAAGTTGTCAAGGGCAACATTGGTTTTGTCACCATCCTTGGTGCCAAGTTGATGACTGCCAGACGAGTGCCCCTTGAGGTCAGAGGCAGACGTCAGGCCCAGCAGCCCCAGATCCTCTGAGGACATGAAGGTCGAGGCTACAAGCCTCCGCACCTGGACCTCCTTCGGGTTCTTGCCAGCAGCTAGCCTTGTCTTGATAACAAGGTGCCCGGTGCCGACCTGGATTTTGGCCTCTAGCACCTTGATGCCCTCTGATGTTGTCCGGGAGACACTGCCACACGTGCTGACAAAGATGAAGGGCACGAGCTTGTTCTGCTTGTACGTCACACCCTCGTTCTGTATACATTAAGGGGGAAAATGAAGACAGTAAGCCATCAAAACTGGTTGTAATTAACTTTATGCGGGCTGTACGCAGCAGGCAGCCTACTTGGCTAGTTATATAGCAGATCCTAACAAGCAAAAGAGCACATTCCTTGTCGTTCTGTTCCCCTTTTCATACCTTGAAGCTGGCAGGCAACGATGGACGGCCTGAGGGCGGGGCAGCTGTCCTGGCGGCCGCTGAGGGACTGAAAGGCCTAGGCCGCATCATAGTTGGAGCCATTGAAGAGGCAGCCACACCAAATGAAAGCCGTCGATCTTGAGGCAGGGGCTCCACTGAGGGCGTGCAGCCCAACTGCGGACCAGTGATTATTTGGCATGCCATCAGGTCCGTTTCATACATATCAGGAAAAAGCACAAATCACAGCAAAGACGTATGTGTAAGCTATGAACAGCGGTACGTAATTGCTTACATTTGACAAAGCCCTTCGAGCACAGCACTCAAAAACGTCCCTCCATGCAGGCTAGAGCATTCCACTAACCGCAGCAGAACTCACCTTCTCATTGCATTTGCCGTTGTATCCAGCAAGCTGATGGTGGAGCATGGCTTGAAGGAGATTGACACGTGCCTGGCCCTTAGTCTTGGACAAGTTCTCATAGGCTTCCTGGCCCAGTAGCGTGGTGAGCAGGATAGGGGCATGCATCACCAGCTCTGCAGCAACCTTGCCTTGGCCGGGCGCACTGGGCTTGGACAGAAAGTCCTTGAGCCTGACCAACTCCACTAGGCAAGACTTGGGGTCCGTACACGCAAGAAGGGCAAGCATGTCTGCCGCAGCTTGGGGCTCGGTCTCCATGACTACATTGGCTGTCTGCTTGCCGTACAACCTCAGTGCCCGTGCCGCCTGTGGTTGAATAAGCATGTAATAGTTATGCCAAAATGGGAAAGGAAAATACAATCTAGCCTGCCTAGTTCATCCCTCCAAAAGAATCCTGCAATACGTACCAGGAATGGGTTACCAGCCGGCGTAGAGAGGAAGGTGCTCAGAGGATTCGAATTGGAGAAGAAAGCCTGCACGTATTGGACCGGTGTAAATCATTATGCCAGGAGGAGGACTGCAATCTATATCGTTCTGCTCTGACAGGGGTAATGCAAGTAGTCCTCAAATCCTGAAACCGAAACCGTCTAACACCCAGAACTACGTTTTGGAGGAGAACGAGCTGCATACAGGTACAGTTTAATATCATTGGACAAGCTTACCTGGTCCCCGTAACCTGTATGGCCGTAGCCAGTGTAACCATGCATCAGCACAGAGGAGGGCCCGGGTGGTAGCGCTGTAAGGCCGCCGCCAGAGCCAGTGCCATTGATGGAGGTGGCGGCTTGGGTCTCAACAGCGCCGTCGACCTGGGTGTCTTGAGCTGGTTGAGTGCCGTCCTGGATTAAAGAAATGCGTTTGGTTATGTAAGGCCTCATGTACGGCGGTAGGTATCTTACATCCTTGGTTTAACCTAAAACAGCCTTTGCTGCGTACCTGCTGTACCGGGTCCAGCTGTGGTGCTTTGTTGTGCTCGGTGGTGGGCAGCACATCTGAAAAGTCCGCACTAGCGGGTTGAAGAGTGGCCGTCCCAAGAGCAGCGCAATCTTGCTGGGGCTCTTCGGCGAGCTGCTCAAAGGCATCATCCTAAATTGAAAGGGTGAACGTAGGTGGCAATGAAATCCCTCTCTCAGAAAAGTGCAAAGACTCGTATTCCTTCAAGAATGGTAGTGGTACGACACAGATTCTTAGGAGGCGCTTCTAAGTTGGTGGCAACACAACAACAGTATCAAATACAATGTCTCATTAGCGCAGCTTAATAACATGAACCATAGTACTAAGGTGTACTACCAAGGCACTTGCGACTAGAACATCGATTCTTAATAAGGACGCTTTCTTTGACAATTTAGGTATTAGGATTTCCATTATAACAATAAGGCAAACACGAGCTATTCACTGAAGTATGGATGCTAGGGATGCGGCCGATGCCGCCGGCCAGGTGCGTGTAAGAACTTGTCGTCAACTGCATCAACAGGTGGTTTATTAAATTAGCAACTCGTATCCATTCAGGACCAGGCAGAATGTGACATCAACGCTATTGGTCGGAGGGAGGAGTACGACATGGCCGCAGTGGCTAAACTGCCGTTCGGAGTCAAGCCTGTCAAGACTGGCAACAAGGAACATAAGTGCCCACCTCCTAACTCATTGGGAGAAAGCTTCATGCGAGCAGGACCATCAGAGTTAGCAATCGAAAAGCTACTGGAACTGCAGCCTGGCAACATTCGCCCATACAGTTTGCTGCGTGTCCTTCGGCGTCTTGATCCTGCCAAGGGCACCACAGCTCTATGGGATGGAAGCATCAGCAATCTATGTGCTCGAGCCTTCAAAGCATTGGGTTATGTTGCTCATGCGTGCTTGCAGAAGCAGTTTCCTGATCAGTACGTACCACCTTGGCAGCTCGGTTACTGGTGTCATGCCGTGAGCAAGCTACACAATAAAATTAACTGCCCTAACCTGAGTCTTTTGGACGTTCATTGGGCTTGCCTGCTCCTATATCCTTTGCACCTAAGACCGCAAGAGGACGACGAGGTGCTAACACGCTGGCGCAGCCTTTGTGTACTGGTTGACGGGCTAAACTGTGCTGCAAACACGGAAGCAGTTGCCAAGTGTATTGTACAACGCCAACACCATGACAAAAACAAGCTACGATACATCACCTTGAAGCTGCAACCAAGGAGCAAGACGGAGTATGTACACCGGTTAATCTTATGGATGGTGCATGGCCCTCCGTCCGAGACTGTCATACGCAACCATCGTAAGAAGGTCCGGAAATGGGATAACAGTTGGTGTCCCGTGGAGGAGATGGATGCGGCACAGCTAGACATGGTAGAAGGTGAACGGGGTGTTCCGGCGATGCACATATGTGACTGTGGAACATGCCTAACCGCAAGCCACATCTACTGGGGGGATTGCCGTGCTAACAAAAAACAGAATGCGGAGGAGTACAGTCGGGTGGTTGTCATGCTAAATAGAGAAAGGGTAGATGAGAGGTTTTTGCCATGCAATACACCTATTACCGGCATTCCACTTGCTCTGGCTGATGGTAACTAGCTGCCTTTTGCCAGATGCACAGTTATTATCTAGGGGACCAGTTAGGCTTGATGTTTGTGGCTTATGAAAGGTCAGGGTTCGTTAGCAGGAACGTACCTCTTGCCCTTGTTGTGCATTGGGGCTTGGCGCAATAATGGCTTCTTTGGGAGGAATCAGGGTCCGAGCCTGCAGCCATGCGACATGCCGTAGTTTTGAGGTTGCGCTGAAGCTAACAAGATACTGTAACTCATATCTAACTGTTATCATGGCCTTACCTTTTTGGCCTGTTCGTCTTCTTGCATCATTTTAATTAACAACGGAGTATGGTCATTCACGGGCAGGTCGTACACTGCAGGAGGTAGGAATTCCTAAACAGGAGGGGGAGGCCAGGGCAACAGTGAGTCGAAAACACGTACCCTAACCAGAGCATGACATATATGGCAGCATACAGAATACACGGGTACGTTAGTGATATTGAACCTGCCTGTTCCTGTATTTTAACTTCTGGTAGCATGTTGGACTTGCCAAGACTTGTAAGGAAGATATATGCTTGAAACGTCTGGTTGGCACCTGCAAGAAGACGAGGTCTGGTAAGATAATTATTGCTAACGGGAAACCAACCAGCAACTAAGCGTGCATACTATCAGACCTGAGGTTCTTATTGGCAATCTTGTAAGGAGGGTGAGTCCGGGGAATCCTAAGCCTGCCATGAATTCGACAGGTTTAGCTTCATGCTTTTGTACGATAATAAGAGCCTGCGAGGCAAGGAAACATGTTAAATCAGCATGAACCAATGCAACAAAGGGTAATAGCAAGCTGTTCAAATCACCTCGAGCTGAGTAGCGGTCTTCATGTGTTTAGTGACCTTTTCCTTGTCACCAAATCCCTCCCAAAAAGAGAACAGGACTGTTACATCTTCATAATTGACCTGCCAAATACCAAGGAAAACGGCGGCTTTAAACAATCAGGGCACTTTTAGGGCCGGGTTCAAGCCCTGTCTAGCGTGCCCCAACCATGTACACTCACGTCGCTGTTGTCTGGTTTGCAGGAAAAACACTCTGGTGTTTTGTACGCTGTCAGAAGAGAATTAACGTCGGCTTCTAAATGGTTCCAAGGATCTTTCACCTTGTATTTGTCAACATGCGGCTGGAACCTCTCAATAAAATTCTCGGCCTTTCCTCGTTTTACTTTATCCAATTCCCAGCCAATGCTTTTGATTCCGAACAAGAACGCGACTATTACCAGGGTCCTGAAAGAAGGTAAACAAAGTTAAAGCGAGGTACGACAGTTGTAGTACATGTGTGAGCGTCGTACTTCAGTGCACATTTCCCACCTGCCAACACCAGCCCCGATGTCCCCGAAGACGCTGTTCGTGCGTAGGAGGCCAGCTCTGACAAGAACCAGTAGGACTATAGTTAATGTTGCAATTGTCAGTGACCCGTACACGCCTTCCACTCCTTCCCCACCGCAGATTTGGCGCTGCATGGAAAGAAAGACAATTATGCGTGAACCATTTACAACTGCAAGGCTGGAAATTTAACACCGCCTTACCTCAATAACCTCGAGTCTTTTCTGGAGGAAAAAGGTCAGGCGCCCAAGTAGCGTTAAATTCTCGGGCGACTTGCGTTTAGGGGCCATAAATGGCGCAGCCTACATGGCATGGGAAGGTAGGCAATTTAACGGGGTGGCATAGCATTCTGGCGATTAAATTACCGTATTTTACCTGCTAGAGTTCCTGCTGCCGTGGTATCGTCTTGAGGGGGCGGCGGTGTAGCCAAAAGTCCATGGTGGACAAAGTAGCGAGCATGCATAGCATTGAAAAAGTAGGGCGAGGTTAGATATCGTTTTAGGGGCCTGTATTGAAATTAAATCGCAAAAATTGAGCAGCACTTGGTCTTTTCATTCCGTGTGGCGGACACTACCCGCTGGCATCTTGTAAAAGCCCTTGGGCACGGTCCTCCGAGGGAATGTCAAGAGCAAGGTTGGGGAGTCCAGAATCCGCGCATGCAAATGACCCACCTGATGGATTACGGTGGGCGGGCTTGTCACGGCGGCCTTGACTGCTTGATTTTGTAGCCCATAGTCCGAAGCGCACATGCAGGCAATGAAAGGCAGTAAGGCAGAGTTAGAAGCTGTCAAACGGCTATCCGTCTAAGCTGTAAATTGCCTACATGCGGCATCACTCGGTCTCTTCATTCAGTGTGGCAGACACCACCCGCTCACTTCTGCTAGCAGCAGTTGGGCATGGTCTTCCGTAGGAATGTCGAGAGCAAGTATAAAAGGCGTAGAAATGGCGCGCTTAAACTAAGGACACACCTGGAATTGACGGTGCCTTGTGACAACCTTGGCTGCTTGGCACGTAGTCCATTGTCAGAAGCGCACATGCAGAGCATAGGAAGGGAATACGACGAGGTTAGCAATGTCTTTGAGCTGGTTGTGTAAGCAAGACAAACAAGAAAAGATCAGCGCTCGGTCTCTTCATTCCATGTGGCCGACTCAAGCCGCGCACTTCTAGGTCAAGAAGCTACGGCCAGGGTCTTCCGGAGGAATGTTGAGAGCAAGCATATGGAATACACGAGCGTGCTCAAACGGCTCACCTGGATACGTATGATGCGTTGCAGCTCACGGGCTGGTTGGGTACATGTCTTGCTGAGGCTGTTTATGGCTCTCAGAGCCAATCGAGTCCTTCAAGGTTCTGCGCATAAAGAGGATACAAGGGATGGGGAACGGACTCGACTTAATCTACGGGGCAAAACGATCTGGCGGGTGGTTCAAATTTAAGCGAACATGGCAGCGCGCGCACTTCGGTTTCTTACATTCTGCTGCGTTGTTTCACAAGAAATATCCCAAAAGCAACAATGCTGTGGCATTAAAGGACACAGATAGCTTTGTTTGCGTGTAAGGGTGCGAGTGGTGACCAGAATGTCTCCATCCATTTGTCAATGGATACCTCCCCTTGCGCAAATCGTTCACTGTTCGAAGCTAAGAATAATGCTATGCAGAAGTGTTAAAGCAAAGACACATCCGCTTACCTTTCAGGCTTGGATGTGTACCCTTGGCGCGAGCTTCCCTAGTTGAGACCTGCAAGGCACTTAAAACTGCAAGCCCACAGCTTGAACATAAGCCCTTTATGTATATATCATTTAATGTATTAATATGTTGAGAATGCAAGTTGTAGGAGACCTCCTACTAGGATCGTGAGCCCGCTCGTCGTACCAGCTAGTTGGCGCCATTGCACCTATGGCAGCAATTGCAGCCCTGTGCGCATACAGTGTTTGTAACACATAACATATACTAAACCAAACATTCTTCGGCTATAATTGTGGGCTTTTCAGAAATCGCGACGGATAGGTCTGACAACCATTGCCAAACAGTTGGAACTGCGCCCAGCGCTGGGACGTAAAGACATGAAATCTTTGATTTGATATGGTTGCAAAGCTCTAGTTAGCGTATGAAACGTTTGGTCTTCCTAAGCAGGAAGCTCGATATTATGCAAAAGCGGAAACGCACGAAGCAAAAACGTGTACATCTTATGAACCCGTATACGTTAAAGGAGCCCCTAGTTGTGCGCAAGTCTTTGGGTCGGAGCATTCTACCGGTTATGATGAGAAGCTCGCCTCTTCTTGCTGCCTATATCCAAAGCGTAAAAGCCTGTATGCAACTGGTTACTGTTGAATCGACTCTCGTGGGGAGACGGCGTAAATTAAGATGTCTTCTGTCGAGCCGGTAACTTGACATGGAGCTGGCTGGACAGCCCAACGAACACGTAAACCGCGCTAAAACATAGTCACAGGGAAGACTCTAGTTTAGCGAAGCCCATAGTAGTGCTTACGTCTTGCGCGCGAGTCGGGGCATTCCGCCGATTGCCATGAGTAGCCCGACTCTCCTTGCTGCTGTGGGAGCCTAAAGCATTAAAGCGCGCATGCTGCATGTTACAATTAGATTGGCTCTTGCGGGAAAACGGCGGTATATAAGGCTGTCTCGTGTTTTCCGTCAAACCGGTAAAATGACATGGAGCTCGCTGGACAGCCCAACGCACGAGTCAAGTGCTGAAACATGGCAACAGCCAAAGGGATTGTGTCAGGGATATTGTGTTGCTGACCCCGTGTACCCAAGCAACTAGTGTCGTTGTAACTCAGCTACAGAATAGGCAGGGTCCGTGGGTCTCTGTTGGCCTTTTGTTACCTCCCTGTTGCATGTATGGCTTTTCCTTTGTGCTGGATTCACCAAAACGATATGTTTCAGGGCCTGTACACCGTCCACCGCCTGGCTAGCTAACGAACAGTACGATGCCACCACTGAAACCCATGGACACATGATAAGATGAAGAAGCTATGGCTATTGAAAGGTGGTTTGGTCCTAAGCAGCTGCCTATCGTTGTAACGAGCTGAGCGTGAAAGAGCGAGCCAGGAAGCAGACGACTGGACCTTACACGTGGAGAGCAAACACAGCAAGCGAGCGAGCGCGACAGCAACGCGCGAACAGCCAAAAAACCAAGTCTGGCGAAGGCCGACCACCGGCCGCAACCCAACCCACAACAACCAACGAACTGCAACCCCAGCAGCGCGAGGGTGTCGCGCGAGCCGCCTCAACCAAGAAAACAACCAAGGACTCTAAGGGCGCCTGCCAGCCCCTGCATTCCCGAGACAAAACCAGCACGGAGCGAACGCAGCGGGTAAAAACGGGAACAGGGGCGCACAAGGGCAAAAACCCCGCTGCAGCTCCGGCCAGCACCTAAAGTTGGCAGGCGACCAAAAAACCAAAACCCAACCAGGCAACTAACCGACAAGAACCCAACGACCCCTAGCAACACCCAGCAACACGCCCACGGCTAGCCCAAGCCCAAGAAGAAACCGAAACCGACCCCACCGACAACACCAAACTGAGAACCACGAAACGAACCAGGCCCACCGACCCGTCACCGAGACCAGCCCACGGCCCACAACCGCCGACCCACAGCAGCAAAACCAGACCCCCGATAACTCCCAGGCCCCCCGGCTCCAAGCGGCCGGCGCCACGCACTCCAGGCTCCCAAGAAAGGCTCCCAGCGCCGCCGCCAGCAGGCGCGCGCTACCGCACGGCGACCCTCCACAGCACCACAAGCATGATTCGCCAGCACCAGCCGCCGGGCAGCGCTGAGGAGGAGACAACACAGGGCGGGGCACGAGCCAGGGAGGCTCGGGCAAGGGTGGGGAAAGTAATCACTCACAGTGATGTGAGTGCTCTCTAAGTGAAGGCAGAAGGCCTTCACCAAGGAACCGAGAGGAAGATAAACAACTCAGGCAGCTCCGAAGCTGCCGTACCAAACAGAGCTCAGTCCCTACGTCGCTTCGCTCCTTCAGGACTAAGCTAATGTTTGGTCCTAAGCAGCTGCCTATCGTTGTAACGAGCTGAGCGTGAAAGAGCGAGCCAGGAAGCAGACGACTGGACCTTACACGTGGAGAGCAAACACAGCAGACCGAAGAGAGAAAAACCCTACCACCTCGTTCAGCGCTGGCCCAGGCGTCTGGTGAGACCCACTGCTTCATCGACCGTCCGCCGCGTGTACAGCTGCACCATCTGCGGAGACAGCCACCGGCCGTGCGCCATGCGTAGCTCCGCTGAGACACCCGTCTCCGCCGCCGCACTGTTGCCGCCGATGCGCATTGAGTGCGGCGTGATGTGCTTTTGTAGGCCCGCTTGCCCGCACATGTACGCCAAACGGGCCCTGAAAGCGTTGTAGCTCATGCTCCAGACCGGATGCTCAACTGTGCCGACAAGCTGCTGCAGGCGGCCCCCCGCTGCTGTGCTCTGGACCGTGCGCAGCAGCGGCCCGACATCCTCCTGAGCTGAGCTGGGCTCCCGACGGTAGCGCCCCTTCCGCAGCAGCCGCTCGATCAGCGCGACGGGGCAGATGGGGCCGCTGACCCGCCCCACCACCGCCCACGCTCCCTTCCACGTCTGGTCTGTCTTAGACCTGGGGATGAACACTTCCATGTGCGAGTCAGTTATGACGAGGAGGTCACGGTGGACAGACACCTCAGCGAGCTCGTCAAACCGTAGGAAAGCGAAGAACATGAGGGAAACCGCCGCAGACATCATTAAAGGCAGCAGCCCCGCATCCGGACCCCCAAACCTCTGTACGAAAGCCTGGAGGTCCTCGCGCGTGAGAGCGTCCCTTGGAGCCGGTTTGGGCACTAGCTGCTTCGCGGCGAGCCTCCGGGTGATCCGGCAGATTGAGTGGGACGTCGGCGAAGGTAAACCGGCTGCTGTGAAGTGGTGGTGAATGGCTGCGCTGGCCTGCCTGACCCTGCCCTCGCCAACCCCGTCCGCCGCGGCCGCCGTGTGAACGGCGAAAAGATACAAGCCCACCACTGCCGGTGGCGTGTCGAAAACCGTTCCCGGGAGGTTCCTCTCCTGCCACCAACGCACAAACTTGCGCCACGGTCCAGCGTAGATGGCCACCGAGGTCGCTGCGAGCGCGCCGCTGGCCTGACTGCTGAAGTCCTCCGCCAAGGACCTCAGTGCGCCGTCCGCCTCGTCTGCAACCGAGCCCAAGAGCGCGTCCGCCCTTAGTCGCGCCTCTGTGGGCGGGGCCGGACCGGGTCATCGGGAACGTTAATCAGGCGGGGGGAGCGTGCGGCGAAATCGAGGAGCAGCGCCATGACCAGCCAGTTCCCCGCCCCTCTCGGGATTGCCCGTTCCCCGGGTGAGAAAACCTCCGCCGCCCAACCCAGGGGTTGCATGCCGTGAACGAAATCCCGAAAAAAGCAGCCGTCTTCCGTCAGGAAGGACCACCAATCCCTTGACGGCCACACGGGGGCCACCAAGCAGAGTCTGGCCCGACACGTTTGCGCATGCCGCAACACCCGCAGGAGCTGGGAGAATGGGGGGTTCGCCCAGCACTTTCGACCCCAGTGGAAACGGAAGGCGTCGACCCCCGCGGTATCCGGCGTGAAGAAGCGGGAGTAATAGGTTGGGAGGTGATGGTTAGAGTCAGACGCGAACAGGTCAACCTCAAAGGGGCCCCACATCTCGCTCAGCCTCTTGAACACGCTGCGCTGCAGGCTCCAATCATCAGGGTCGCTCATCTTGGAGATGTAGTCCGCCAGTTGGTTGCGCTCGCGAGGGCGCCATTCGGCTTGCAGTCTGATGTCCCGCTCAACGCAGAACCAAAGCAGGTCGTACGCCACCTCGTAACACGCGTCCGCCTTAGCCGCGCCCTTGTTGATGATGTTGGCGGTGTTGAGGTTGTCCGTAATCACCTTGACCGCATGGCCCGAGAGGCCTGCTGGGCTGTCGAACGAGCGGAGGGCGTTCAGGACCGCCTTCAGCTCCTGCGGAGTTGATGCGTACTGCCGTGTCTTGGGGTCCCAGCCACCCCGCGCCACTGCCAGCTGACCGCCTAGCACCGTCCAGGCGCCCCAGCCGCCGAGAGACACCTCTGATTTGCCGGCGGCGTCACAATGAATGATGGAGTAAACCTTGGTGGGCTCCCAAAGCTTGCGCTTGCCGTTGAAATGGTCAAAGAACTGCTGCCAGAAAAGCAAGTCCTCCCGAGCTTCATCTGAAAGGGGCAAGTGGGAGCTCCAGGACCGGCGGGTTTCAATTAACCTCCCGAGGCCCCTGGTGCGAAGCCGCGACCAGGGGCCGAAAGCCCAGCCCATGGCGAGGAGCTGGCCCTTAATCGAAGCCAAAGCGCGGACAGGGATGCGCCGTGAGTTAAGGGTGAGGTTGATGGCGTCTAAGACACGGGTGCGCTTGTCCTCTGGTACGATGAAAACGCCTTCCTTGGTGTCAAGGAGCATGCCCAGATAGCGAAAACGTTGCGCGGGGGCCCCTAGCATCGACTTCTCCCGGTTGACCACGAACCCCAGATTCTCCAGTTGGGCTAAGACAACCTCCCTCCGCCGCACCAACCGCTCGGGGTCTTGGTCCGCATGGAACTGGTCGTCGAGGTAGCCACTGCACCTCCAGCCCCGCCGCCGCCAGCCCCGAAGTACTTCGCGCGTGAGCTTCGTGAAAGCCCAGCATGCGCTCGCAAGACCGAATGGCAGTTGCGTGAAGACGTAGAAACGCCCCCTCCACTGGAAACCCAAGTACTGCCAGCAGTCCTCCCTGATGTCAAGGTGATGGTAGCCGCTCTTGAGATCTAGCGTGAAAACGAAGTCGTCAGGAAGCAAGAAGCCCGGTGCCGCCTTCAGGTCTTCGTAACGAAACTTGGGGATGTGCAAGTAGTCGTTGACCGGCCGAGCGTCGTAGATGAGGCGTTTCTTGGTGCCCTGCTCGACTACTCCCAAGGGACAGACCATGCGCGGCTTCCGGGGAACCTCAAGGATGGATTTGGCGGTTAAAAGGTCGGAGATGGCCTGGTCAACAAAATCTGCATGCTGCTCTGCTGAAGCGTGATTGCCGGCAAAGTGAGGCGGCGGTGGCTGGCCCTTCTCCCACGAGAGAGGGAACCCTTCTACTATCCAGCTAAGAACCAAGGGGTTGGAGACCCAAGCATGCCATTCTTGAGCCTTAGCCCGGAGCCTCCCCCTCATAACTGGCGGCTGCGGTTTCGCTGCTGGTGCTGCCTCAGCGGAAACGGCAAATTCTCCCGGGATGTCCTCTAGATTGACCCCCTCTACGGCCTGCTCCATACCTTCTACAGGCATGGCTGGGGTAGCGGGCTCCTTGCGGTGCCGAATCCGCGGCGCCGACTCCGGCGCCCTAGCCGTCTGCGCCACCATGCCATCGCCCGATGTGACAGCCAGCTTCTTGACCGGCCTGCCGTGCTCGTTAGGGCCGCCGCCGGTACCGGCCGCCGGTTGGGCGCTCGGAACTTGATCAATCTCCCTCGCTGCCCTGGCGACGTCAGTCCGGACATCCTTCTTCTCCTTGCCAGAACCAACTAGGCTAAGAGCCCTCTTGACCCAGCTGGGGAACTTCATCTTGATCTCCTGGTCCTGCCGTTAGCACACTGACGGGTGGCGGGGGGAACGAAGGGAAGATTACGTGATAAGGAGCCCGCTGAAGGTGCCTAAGACGAACTGCAGGACCAAGGCGCGGTTAACCACCCTAGATTAAGCAACTGACAGCTGCCAAAGCTGCCGACCACCGGGGGAAGGACCTCAGGCCTAAAAAAGCACCAGGCTGCCAACTTGGGACGGGGAAGAGGGAGAGGAGCGGAAGCAGTGCTGTAACAAGAGCCAGTTCGAGCTGATCCAACAGCCTTAAGTCCTCAGCGCACTCCGGCGCAGTCTGCGGGGCCACAGGCCAAACCGGGAGGGGGGGGAAGTCAACAACTCTGCGCCAGCACCAGGGCCTAACGATACTAGCCGGCGGCAAAAGACCAAGGGGGCCAACCCGACCCGACAGGGCAAAACAAGCACCTCCAGCGAAACCCTTCTCTCGCGCTCCTAGCGCCTAAACCTATTCGCACGCGGGCGACTGAACACCAAGTACTAGGGGCCACCCCTCCAGGCGCACGCGGGCGCCAAGCGCACGCGGGCGCATACAAAACCCAACACGAGGCCGACCGCCGGCGCTACACAGCTGGAAACACCTCTCCTTGAAGTGTGCACGCGGGCACAACCACTTTAGCGCCTGCGCCTGTTCTCATAGCTCGCACGGTAGCGCCGCTCCCGGTCGTACTCGCGATCCGCCTCGCGCGAATCCTCGCGCGAGTCCCGCTTGAAATCCCGCTCGCGGCGATCCTGCCGCCCGCGCCTCCTGTTGCCTCCACCGCGGCCGCTCTCATCGCGCGCCGCGTTCAAGAAGGCGGTGGCCAGCGTGGCGTTAAAGGACACCTTGTCCGGAGTCAGCACCACCTCGCTGAGCGTGCTGTTGATGTAGCGGAGCATCGCATTGAGGCCGCAGCTGTGAACGCTGCCCAAGTTGTCGACCGCAGCCACGCAGATGCCTGCCATGCCCTTCATCGAGTCCAGATAGTGCTTGAGCAAGCGGTCGTCACCAGACTCCATAGACTCAATGGCGTTCCTGGCCATCATCTCAAACATCTTGTAGATCTGCTTGTGGCCGGCCTGAGGGGTGGTGAAAGGGTCGCTGGCGGTCGCGCAGAGGAGAGGGTCCAGCTCCTTGGCCAGTACCGGCTTCAAAGACCGCTGCAAGGCCTTAGGAGACGGCTTCTTCTTGATGGCAGGCTTGGCCCTCAGGCGCCTTGAGCGCGCCACTTCGCTGCGGATCAGCAACCTGAGCTTGCGAAGATCAGCCTCAGACTTGCCGGAATCCTCCTCCTCGCTATCGACAACGTCGGAGTCCTCAAAGCCGTCATCGGTCTCCTCCCCCGGCGGCGGCTGAGCGCGCGGTGCCTTAGCGGCCCCGCCATTCTGAGGCTGCTCGGGAGCGGCCGCACCTGCTTTGCGAGTAGCACTACGAGTAGCTGGTTTCTGTTGAGCTTGTGCTTGCTGGGTGATTGCTACTTTGTTGTTCTTCTTCGCCATAGAAGACGGCGCGAAGAGTGGGAACTCGGTCGAACTCGAAGGAAAGGTAAGGCTTGAAAGTAATCACTCACAGTGATGTGAGTGCTCTCTAAGTGAAGGCAGAAGGCCTTCACCAAGGAACCGAGAGGAAGATAAACAACTCAGGCAGCTCCGAAGCTGCCGTACCAAACAGAGCTCAGTCCCTACGTCGCTTCGCTCCTTCAGGACTAAGCTAATGATATTACCTTATTGGGCCATGGGTAGCCCTCATGTGGCGTGCAGCTAGAGCTGTTGACTACTACTGGAGATGAAACTGCCTGCACTACGTGCATGCACCTGACACAAGGGTACGAGAAGAACTTCTTAGGTAGCCCTACGTACTTTTCCTTGCATGCAATCTCTGCACAGGCACTGCATTGCTTGCTGGCTGGAGAGGTCTGGTGTCTTGCCTTAAGTTAGATGTGCAAAGGTAACTGCTTTATGTCTGAATACGACGTCACTGCCTGGTACAGGTTTCAGCTTGTATTTGTGCATGGGAGAGCCGTGGATGAACGTCACGTATGCACGGATTACTGTTACAAAGGCCTTGTCTTTAGCCACAAACAGATACCCTGGGTAGGGAAGGCCAGGTCTGAGCCCCACAGGACGTGCACTTGCACTCGTCCTTCTAAGCGTTCATAGTACAACGTACAATACCCTTAGTACGACTTGAGTCAGACATCACACAAAACAGAACCCCCTTGCTGAGACATGGTCTTCTATGCCCACACATTAACATAATGATCTAAAGTAACACGAACCCGCATCTTAGGAAACCTCATAACCAGGTGCTAAATGCTTAAATGTACCTACTCCTGCTAGTCGCCTACCCCATACCCCAAACGATTCCCTTCAGTGGCCGCCTTGCCTTCCCTGCCGCTTCGGCCGTCGGTCTGCCTCCTCGTCCCACTCCTCCTCCCCCTCCTCCTCGGGATCGGACTCTTCGGATTCATCCTCCTCCTCCCACCCGCCCTCCTCTGGTGTTTCCTGCCCCAAGTCCTCCCATTCACCTTCTACCGCTCTCTGCCTCCTGGCATAGCTCCGGCGGCCGCCCCTCGTACCGTAGCCACCCCCTCGACCCTCCTCGTCCTCCTCACCCCCCTCATCGTCGCCCATGCCCCTCAACGGGCCCTGGCCATCCTCTGCATCCGCAAACTCGCCGTCACCACCCTCATGATATGCATTGTATGCGCCGTACCCCCCGTGCATGCTACCATCCATGTTTGCATCACCCTGGCCGCTTGCTGCTCCAAGCTCTTGCTGCCTCCTAGCACCAGCGTCCAAGCCACCATCGCCTCCCGCCAGATCACCAAAGCCTCCTTCCAAGCTGCTGCCTCCTGCTGCCGATTGGGGGTTGGGTCCCATCCCACTTGCCGTACTGCTAGGCTGCCCATGAAAGCCGTCCGCTCCTTGTGGCCTCCTTGCGGCTTGGGCTGCATCTGCCTCAGCACTGCTGCCCATGAACAACCTGCGAAGCCGGCCGAGCAGAGGGCGAGGGGCTGGTGCATGCGAGGGCCGACCCCTAGGTTCTGCCAGCTGCTGCTGGAACCTCTCGCCAATAGCCGCTGCTACGTCCTGCGGCTGCTGCTCCCCACCTTGCACCGCCGCTGCTGCCTCCCCCGGCTCCTGCCCCCGGCCCTCCGCCGCCGCTGCTGCCTCCCCCGGCTCCTGCTCCTGGCCCTCCGCCACTACTGCTGCCTCCCCCAGCTCCTGCTCCTGGCCCTCCGCCGCTGCTGCTGCCTCCCCCGGCTGTGGCACCTGGCCTTGAGGTGCATCGGTCCCCTGCAGCTGCTGCTCTTGGCCTTCTGGTGCACCTGCTGCTGCCTCAGGAGGAGTCTTGCCCGCTGCCACCTCATGCCCCTGCGGTTGCGCCTCGCCTGCCGCTGCTGCTGCGTCCCTGGGCCGCTCTTCCTCGCCGCTGCCCCCGCTGCCCTGCCGCCGAAGCTTCTGCTCACATATCAGCCTCCAGTCCTCGAGACGATCCACCGTCGCCTGCATCATCGCGGAGTCATGGTCCTTGATGTAGTTTGAGTCCCACGCAGCTTGGGAGTTGCCCATGATCTGAGCGTCACCATCCAGGTGGGTCCTCCCGGCAGCAACCTCCCGAATCACTGCATTGAACTCGCTGTTGGCGTGAATGTGGCGGAAAAGGCGTGCTGTGAATGGCTGCCATGGCGCACTGTGCTGCTGCTGGATGCGGTTCCACAAGGCTGCTACTGTGGTGCCGCCCGAAATGCCAAGAGCCTTCCCTCGCCCGGTAAGGAAGAGGAAGGGAACTGGCGCGGTCTCCTCCCCCTCCTCATCCGTGTCGTCGTCGCCAGCAAGTATCGGCCGGATGTTGTTGATGTAAGACAGCGCACGTTCCGCCAGGACCTTGGGCAGCTTGAAGGTGATGGGCTTCTTGCGGAACCGCTCCGTCTTGTGATGGAATAGCTCCACCTTCATGCCGCCAGTGGGTTCTCCCGAGCGTGTTGTCAAGGCACGCAGGGTATTCCCCCGGCAGTTAGCCCTGGAGCAGCACGCATGCGTGCACACATCGCGGCCAGGCACCTTGAGCGTCGCAATGCAGGCCAGGCGCAGCGGGGGGACATAGAGCCCGCACAGGAACTCAGCCAGCAGAGCGTCCCTCTGAAGGAGAGCTGTCTCGAAGCTGATGTCACCCGCCACCATGTCTGCGGAAAGGGCGTCGTCTGCCTTCTGACGCAGCTCCATCACGAACCGCAGGAGCAGCACCTTGTCAGGCAGACCCGTGGGTCCGTCCTCGTCCTCCTCGTCGGAGTCCACATCAGATGGCGGCGGGGCAGGCGTAGGGTAGCTTCGGCGGAAGCTGTCGGATATCCTCTTGAGCCACTCCACCATGTCCATGAGCTTCTCCCTCTGTGCAGTGAAAGGGAATACCGGGGAGAATGCTAAGGCTAATAGGAGATTGAAAGATACATTATTAAACAAGGTAAACACTGCATGCATCATATCTCCCCACCGACCATGCGTTACACAAGCAATAGTATATATGGTAGGGAAGATGTAAAAAGCAAATGTTCTTGCGTCATGCAGGCATGGATGGGGATGGGTCTAGAATAAGCACCACAGCATCTCCCATACTACTGACCTCTTTGTCCGTCAATGTAGGATCGTAGCTCTCCAGGTATACGACCAGCCGCTTCAAGCGGCAGACCTCAGTCCCCAAATGAGCAGCAGCACACCGCATCATCATAAAGTCGAGGTAGCGGATGACCAACGTCTACAGGCGCAAAGGGGTATAAGCGATGCTGAGCAGGATGGATGTGGCATGGCGCTTTCGTACAGATACAGCCTTGCATGTGCAGGCAAGTACAGGCAAGACCCGACTCACTCTTCCTCACGTACTCCCATCCCATGACATCCCCATGAATTGCAGACCGAAACCCAAACTACAATCATAGGACTAAGGAGGCTTACCGGGTTGCCTGCCAAGCGCAGGGAGATGAACTTGGGGGGTACACACTCCACGAATCTGCAGAAGCCCAAGAACTTGGACACCGTGTTCAGGATTCCATTCCAGGTCTCCTTCTTGGCCTGAGTGAATTCCGCGACGGTGAAGTCGAAGGCCTCGGTACACCACCACTCGTAGTGGTTGAGCTCCTTGCCGACTGGCATCTGCGCCGGTATCTTCTTGAGGATAGCCAGAAGCCCAAACTTCTTCTTCTTCACCACGTGAGAAGGCCAGCAAAGAAGGGGCACGTTTGATGGAAGCTTGGCTTTACGCCCACCGCTGCCAGCGCCCTCATCCTCGCTTTCAACCTCATCCCCGCCCTCACCCACACTGCGGACCCTGCCGAACTGATACCACTTGGTGTCGCCCGGTACCCGATCACAAGGGAAGGGTATAGGCGGCGGGCCCGGGTCCTTACCCCGCTGCTGGGCAGGTCTCTGCCGCCGACCACGAACCCAGGCGGCTTGTTGCACGGCGTTTGGAGGTGGCCGAGGACCAGCCATTTGCCCGGGAGGTGGTGGTTGCTGCTGCTGCCGTTGCTGTTGAGGCGGGAGCGGTGGCTGGCGCTGCGGTGGGGGAGGTGGGGGTGCCGGCTGCCGTTGGTTTTGTACCGGCTGGGGGTGTGGTCGCAGCTGCGGCGGCGGCGTGGGCTGCTGCTGCTGACGTTGTGGTGGAGGTGGAGGGGATCGAGGCGGCCGCTGCCAATGGTCCTGTAGCGGTTCTTCCTGGGTTTGCAGAGGCGGCTGGGGCTGCTGGCGCTGCTGCTGCGGTAGGGGAGGTGGAGGTGCCTGCTGCTGCCGCTGCTGATGGTTTTGTACCGGCTGGGGGTGTGGTCGCAGCTGCGGCGGCAGCGTGGGCTGCTGCTGCTGACGTTGTGGTGGAGGTGGAGGGGATAGAGGCTGCCGCTGGGGCTGCTGGCGCTGCGCTGGTTGTGGCAATTGCTGCCGTTGATACCGTTGCCGTGGTGCTGGTGGCGGGGTGCCGTACCCATCCTCCTGATCGCTGTCAACATCCATGGCAGCCAGAGACAGCTGGTGAGATGATGGGCTGTCCCAAGCAGTGCGAAACAAAGCAGGGCGGCTGTAGAGGCCTGGAGGTTCCGCTGCTGTAACATGGCGCTGCTGTCGAGCCTCATTTGCCGGAGCCATCCGACCACGCTCCTGCATAGATAACGAATGACAGCAAAGCGTGTAGGGCACCCACGGTTAGCAACCAAGGATAGGGATGCGAAGGTAAAGGCGACAGCGGCAATGCCTCGCCCATATTTTAACATAACCTACAGCTTTCTTTAAAAGCTTTCAATGCAAGACTGATTACAAGCATGCGCGCGTGCTGGCAGAGGATCCCTGGCAAGAAAGATAGCAATCCTCCCACATGGGAGCCCTCGGCTTACCGTCGTCCGTCGTTTTGGTTGATAGCTCAGCTCCTCCTCCTCCTCCTCCTCATCGTCTTCGTAGATAGCAATCGGCCGCCTACCATTCTTCTTGGCCTTTTTACTGATGGCTTTTCGCCTCCATACGTCCTCCGTCCTTCGCTTCATTGATCCCTTGTGACCCTGCACAGCATTAATGATTTAGGTTAGTTGTCACTACGATTGTATGTCCCTGGTGCGAAACACCCCTTGAAGCTTTGGCCACCACAAAATACATATTCTCCCCACAAGACGCTTCTATGAAAGCATCTTACCCAATGCAACTAACGCATATCTGATCATGCTATCCTAAGCCATATTTGAGATGTAAGTGTTTCTGTTGGAAATGTCGGCACATCAGGCAACGCGTCTTATGTTTTTTATCATCCCTCGCATATTATATGTTGACGTGTGTTGTGTGTCTTGGCAAATAATAAAGCGCCTGCTACCGTCGAGCCAAGGGCAGGTTACCGTCCGGAACCGGTATGCAGTACACGGTTGCAAAGCACCTGTTAGATGCATACCAAACCTAGACACATGCCGCCCAGCACTTATGCTGACGAACATGCATACTGCAGCCATCGCAAACGTGCATTTCTGCGTGTGGTATCCTGTGGTTCGGTCTGCAAGCATGGGGTTTGTTCGACTTTGGCGGAGTGGCCTGTGGTTGACGTTTGGTTTCTTGGTTCACAACGGTATCACTGGGGTGGGCTCTCATAGAGGGAGGGTTCGGATTGGGTTTGCTTGGGTACGTGTCGGCGTGGTTCTGTGGGGTTGGATTGGGTTTGGTACGGTTGCAACGGCTGAAGTACATTAGAGTTAGTTTTGGTGCTGGGTGGTTGACGTTTTGGTTATATTGGATTTGGTTGGGTTTGGTGGGCTGGTAAAGGTTGCGGTTTGCTTTGCTTGCCTACGGTTGGGTGTGGTTCTGCACGGTTCTGCACGGTTCACTGTGGTTACATGGGGTAAAGTACGGTTGAGCTGGGTGCGGTTGCATGGGGGTTCCATACGGTTTAGTGTGCTTTGGTCAGGCTGGGTGCGGTGGGGTTGCTGAGGTTCGCCACGGTTTTGACAGGGTTCGGTGCGGTTCCGGCCCAAGGGTCGGCGGATTACCCTTGGGATCTTTTCGCCTGACGCCCTATTTGACCCAAGAGGGCCCGGGCAATATGCCTCCTGTCGTACATTTGTGTTCTAGTTGGACAGCCTGTGTGTTGCACGTGCAGTTGATGGACTATGCCTGCTTTTTCCCCTTCCCAGCTAGGGCAACATCACATGTGGGTGTTTGCTGTGTCTTTTAGCCTACTGTGCCCGTAATTGCTGTGTTCCATTCCCTTATGGTGCACATGCAGCTGGCGACAGGCCTCACAACTGTCTTTGGGTGAAGTACACATTGTTTGATGAGGATGTTCGTTGGAGAGGCCCCATGCTCACTCCCCCCACACATCCACTCCCAGGAGCACCATGCGACGACTGTGATTGATATTATCCTATGACCCATGCCTAATATGCACAGCCCACGTCAGGCAAGGCGCTGAATCCCGGATTGGCCGCGTGGGAGGTGTGATTTGTTGGGAGTGGTCACCCTTGAGCAGGGTGACGAGCTCATGACCAGCCGCGCTTAGCCCTGAAATTGCACTAAAGCGCACACATACTCGCTCAAACAAGCATACCAGTAACAGGTTCCTTACGGGTTTTGGAGGAAGCGGGCAGAATAAGCTGCCTCATGCCCCGTTGCCGTACATCAGCAGCGGCATAGCAGAGGCTCGCATTGTGCCTGCGCACGCTTACTTCACTACTGTTACAACACACTGATGTATAAATAGGTAAAATACTTCACGTCCTGTTTTTATGGACAGAGTTCGACGCAAACGATCTGGAGGCGGTGCTGGGCCGGAGAAAGCACTCGGACTTTTTGGCCGTCGTCTTGGAGCAGCGTCGGCTTTTCTCATCCGTTTAGGAGCACCTAGCAAATCAGGTGCGTTGGGAGGGCCGGAGCGCTTGCTATGAGTGCGATCTCCTGCTGCTCGTGTCTGGGCCGAGCTCTCGTTAGAGGCCGTAATGAGGTGCACGCGGGCTTGGCACATACAACATCGTGTTCCTTGATATGAGTGTGTGATTTGCGGTGCAGCTAGCTTCTTTCATCTGAGCCTCGCATCGCATTTTCCAGTGTCCTCGTAGCAACCATAACTTACACCAGCGTCTGCTGTTCCTCTCTGTTTAGGTTACAAGCGCTTGGCAGGCTGCTGGTGAAGGAAGGGCGTGCCAGTGGAGCGGCGCGGTTGGTTGGATGGAGGTGAGAAAGGCGGTTGCCAGCAGCCCAGCTTTTGCATACGGGGGCTGATGCTGTCTGGGACTCTCTATTTCCAAACCCCTTTCTGTTGCTCTACACTGCTGTTAGCACCACGTTAGCACCCCTGCGTCCTCACCCTCTTGCGCGCTCTTCTCCTCTCGCCGCCCTGCTTACCCTGCGCCCTGCTGCTGCCCCGACTACTTCTCTCCCCCCCCGCTTGCTAACATGTTCTCCTTCCTCTCGCATGCTCCTCTTTCTCCTGCTGCTCCGTCCTTTTCAGAGCCCTCCCCGCCGCTGAACAGCTCTGCAACGCACCGCCCAGCCATGCGTTCTTTCATGGGACTGGCTCCTCCTCCCTCTCGGTCCCTGTCTCTGTTACCTCGCCCCAATCAGCCCTTCACTGCTACTCCCTGGCCTGCACGTCACTGGCCAGCGTTCACCCCGCCGCGCGCCATTGGTTAAGCTCCTATAGCAGGACATGTGAGTTGGGTCATTGTAGGGCGGGCGGATTTGTGCAGGGAAGGGGGTTGTGTAGTGGATTGGTGCATGGCAAGACGGGGGAAACTTGGGGGCGCCTGCAACACCTGCAACACAGTTGAGACCCGTGGGTCGCCATGGTGTTGGGCAGTATCCATGTGTACCTCCTCCGACCGCCTGTCATACTCGGTCGTGCGTGTTCCCTTACTCATTCCCTCCCGCTCCTGTCTCCCTCCCTCCCCCCCTTCATGCAGCCCTCTCTCACTGTGGACTCACGGAGCCCCAGCAGCAGCAGTGGCAGGAGCAGCAGAACCCCATGAATGACCTTAGCGGGTGCAGGGAAGGGGGTCCCTCCTCCCCCTCCCTCCCGCCTGGCGTGCCGTTACCTTCACCAACTTGCCCGCCGTCGCCAGCACCGCCCAGCCTGACATCGACCTCGCCTGCAGCGCCCAGCCCTCTCCCTCCCTCGCCCTCACCGCCCAGCCCTCGCCTACACCGCCATCTCCTGCACTTCAACCGCCTGGCGTTCCGCCTCCATCCCTCACCTTCTCTTCCCAGCCTTGCACCACCACCACCTCCTGCGCCGCTTCCTGCATGGCGTGCTGCCACCTTCGCTGGAGCCGCCCCGCCTTGCACCACCACCACCTCCTGCGCCGCTTCCTGCATGGCGTGCTGCCACCTTCGCTGGAGCCGCCCAGCCGCTCATCCGCCGTAGCTTATATAGCAGCAGATGTGAGTTGGGTCAAAGTATGACGGGCAGAGGTCCAGGGAAGGGGGTCGTGTAGAGGAGGGAACTTGGGGGGCACCGGGCGGTCCTGCTAACACCTGCAACACAGGGCACAGCGGCTGTTGGATGGCCTGGGCTGTACAGCAACGCCTGCCCCTTGCCTGTCGTCGTACTCCTTTGCATGCCTTCTTATCCGCCTCCTCTCCCCCTCCCGCCTCCCTCCCGCCCCTCCCCTCCGCCCCACAGTCGTCTCTACACAGGACAGTGCTGAGCCTTTGCTGTTCCGCTGCTGCAACCGCCCAGCCCCCACCGGCGCTGCCCAGCCCGCCTCCCCCCTAACCAGCATCAGCCAGGCTGCTGCCACCCTCACCGCCCCCAAGCCCTGGCACCTCCGCCCCTCTGGGCACCCTCTGGGCCCGCTCTGCCCAGCTCGCTGCCGCCCTCACCCGCACTGCCCAGCCCTCACGGCCGGCCTTCCCGCCACACAGCCAGCTTCCTCCCTCGCCTGTTCAGCCCAGCCCCACTTTGCCTTCGCCGCTGTTCAGCTTGTTGCCGCCATTACCAGCACGTCACCGCCATATCCCCAGCCCCCAGTCAGCATCCGCCGTAGCTCACCTGCAGGCCGGAGCCCCTGACTGGTCTGCATCGTCCATCACCTTTTGAGGAGTTCCACGTGTGGCCCGTCGCCTACAAAACAGGTGAGTGACCCATGGGTCATCAGCACGCTCAGGGCAAGGGGTTAGGGCGCCGTTAATGCACGGTGTTATGGGTGGTCTCCCTCTTGTCTCCTCCTTTTCTTCTATGAAACACACACCCATACAACGCTCAGACTCAAACCGGTTCCCCTCCCTCCCTTCCTTTCCTGCCCAACAGTGCCTGGCGGCCACCGAAATCACCTTCATCCTGAAACCGCCCCACAGTCGTCTCTACACAGGACAGTGCTGAGCCTCTGCTGGTCCGCTGTTGCAACCGCGCAGCCCCCACCGGCGCCGCCCAGCCTGCCTCCCCCCTAACCAGCGTCAGCCAGGCTGCTGCCGCCCTCACCGCCCCCAAGCCCTGGCACCTCCGCCCCTCTGGGCCCGCTCTGCCCAGCTCGCTTCCGCCCTCACCCGCACTGCCCAGCCCTCACGGCCGGCCTTCCCGCCGCACAGCCAGCTTCCTCCCTCGCCTGTTCAGCCCAGCCCAACTTTGCCTTCATCGGCTGCTCAGCTTGCAGCCGCCTTCACCAGCACGTCACCACCATATCTCCAGCCCCCAGTCTGCATCCGCCGTAGCTCACCTGCAGGCCGGAGCCCCTGACTGGTCTGCATCGTGCATCACCTGTTGTGATGTTCCACGTGCGGCCCGTCGCCTACAAAACAGGTGAGTGACCCACGGGTCATCAGCACGCTCAGGGCAAAGGGTTAGGGCGCCGTTAATGCACGGTGTTATGGGTGGTCTCCCTCTTGTCTCCTCCTTTTCTTCTATGAAACACACACCCATACGACGCTCAGACTCAAACCGGTTCCGCTCCCTCCCTTCCTTTCCTGCCCAACAGTGCCTGGCGGCCACCGAAATCACCTTCATCCCGAAAACGCCCCACAGTCTCCAGCTCCCAGTGACGCCCCGGTTGCCCAACCATCCCCTCAGCTTCTGCTGCTGCTGCTGTGGCCGCCGCCGTCGCCCAGTTCAACACCGCCCCGCCCCGCACCTCCATCTCCTGCACCCCTCCCGCCTGGCGCGCCGCCTCCCTCGACCTCACCGCCCCGCCCAGCACCGCCATCTCCTGCACCGCTCCCGCCTGCCGTACGATTGGTGGTTGGTTGGGGGCCGGGTGAAGTTGCTGACTACACCTCTCTACCTGACCGCTGCTGCTGCTGCTGCTGCTGTGGCCGCCGCCGTTGCCAAGTTCAACACCGCCCTCCCCAGCAGCACCCAGCCCGTCACCATCACCTACACCGCCCTGCTGTCACTACTCCCACCAACACCTCCAAGCTCGTACGGTTAAGTAGGGCGCGGTGTGGGGAAATATATCAACAACTTGCCCCATAACGCCTCCATCCCCGGCCTGTTATGTTGCCTATTATGCCTTGCCGGTAACGCTGCGATGCAACCCACCCACGCCCTGTGCTTGTGTGAAGCAATCCCGCGTGATGCAGGAGTCTCTTGGCTCTGCGTGTAGAGTTGCGAGCACCTAACCACAGTCCGTCTGTGCAACGTATTCCCTCACCACACGCTCAACTGCGTATCCAAAGGTCTTCTTCCTTGCACCTTGGTTGTTGCACTGCGGTCTGACCTGACCTGCTGCACCCCTCATGTGCTCTTGTTGCAGGGCAAAGGCGAGCACTAGCAAGACGAATTCGCCAGCCACGTACGAGCCCAGGGTAAGCGGGGCGCGGTGTGGCCAAGACACTGGTTGTTCGACGCCGGTATGGGGCGGGGGAGGCGTGGGACGGGGGAGGCGCAGGTTTCGGGCTGTGTCGTACTCTGGCGTGTACTCTGGCAGCGTTGGGGGTTCGTAGCACTGCCTCTTAAGTATGTATGGGTAGCCCGCCCCACGTGAGTGCCCCACAAGCGCAAATGGACGAGAGGGCAGCGCTGTTGAGAGCAGCAGACGTGCACAGAAGTGCTCAGGCATCATCAGGCATGATTATGACAGATAAGCGCTGCCAAAGAGCACACACGCTGCCTTTTCGCCCCTCTCGCCCCGTAACGCGCATACGCCCTTCCTGCTGGCATCCTGCTTAACTTCATGTGCGTGTTTACCCCCCACCCCCACAGGCACAGCACACACCGCGGTGGGTATCAAGCACGCAGCAGAGTCTGTGTGTGGGGCACGGGTGAGCTGGGGGGTTGTATTGGGTTGGGCGGAGGGGGCGAGAGAACGAGGGATGTGTCTCTTTTACATGTGGGGGGGAAAAGAGCTGCGTATGCTGCCCTGCTTTGCAGCCCCATGCATCCTGTTGTGTTCGTTATGTCCCTCTCCTCCTCCAAACTTACCGTGCTCTCACTACATACTGACACCCTTCTTGCCATCTCCCCTGCATCCCCCCCAAACAGAGAGATGGCTCAGCTCCTCCCTTTCCAAGCAATGGACTGCGTCATCCCCTTCTCCACCCATACACCCCCTGCCACCGCCGCTGCCGCCGTCGTCACTGCCCCTACCTCGTCCCTCCTGCCAAGATGCACGGGCGCTTCAATCCCCACCACCTCCCAGACAATACGGAGAGGGGCCGCCAACGGCTGGGGCTGGTTTGGGGTACGGCAAGGGGCAGGGAAGACCTAGCATGTAGTGGGCTAGCTAGTGGGCAGAGGCAACCCGCCAATAGCAACAGGCATGTACTAATGGCTTTCACCCCAAGCATGCACCCTACCTTTGGGTCATCCTCCTCCTATCCATCATGTGCATCTGCATTTTACACCTGCTGAGCCTTCTCTCCCTGCCCCAAACCCCTTGTCTAGCAGGCGCTCAGCAGGCGCATGGTGAACTCCGGTGGGAGGGGCAGCACCACCGCGGCGTCACCATGAACCATGAGCCATCCATTCCTTCCCAACTGACAGGCAATTGTACGAAACAGGCAACACCACCAAGCGATCAAGACCCCAATCAAGACCAAGTTGTCATAGTGCCGCTGCTGCTGCTGCTCTGCCGCATGAAGAGCAGCAGCCCAATATGCTCCACCGCCACCTGCAGCACCACATTCTCAGCATGCAATGCCATGCCATCCATTCGTCGACGAGTCACGCGCGCGCGCACATAGCAGCATTCACTAAAGCATAATGAACAACAGCAAAACCACCTTTCATTGCATGTTTTCGTATTGGGATATGATAAGAAAAGCAGGGTCGCGCATGCAAGCGCACATACTTGGTGTATTTTATTTTCTTTTAAAGGGCCACCACATACTACTATACCTTGTTTTTTTCAATGGCAACATGGTTTACGACTGAGCTCGAACTTTTGGCCGGTAAAGCCATCGATGCGTACATGATTGTACGGATTTTTCGTTTCCGCGCATATCTCAACAAACCAAGCACACCATGGTGTTCAGCGTTGAATTTCCTGCAGGTCCATGTGTTTATTGAGGTAGGCGACGGACTAACAAGCCACTTGCAGTACACCCGCCCGAAGGTAGAGCACACTGCAGGTGACTCAAGGTGTTGCAAATGCTTACATTAAGTGCAAAGACATATACGCCTGTCCGCCCTGTAACACATCCTGTTTACGACCAGCTTGCGACCTCCGAACCAGCATTACAAGTTAGCCAAGAGGCGAACTGCCCAATGGCCAGTTACGTAGCGTTATGTAGTGCACATAGAACACTTAGGCAGGGCCTTGTCAGCTTAGGCCCAGCTGGCGACTGTGCGTTTCTTATTCAAACAGAATCGCAGTCGACCAGTCAGCGACAACAAGCACTGAGGAGAAAACAAAGACATACGAGCTTACGTTTATACTCTCAAGTAAGTTTTGCATCTAGCGGGTCTAATGGGCTCATATCCAGACGTCGGCATCCGCATCCGCCCTTACAGCAAGCGATACGTTCACCTGCTTGCCAATCGACGCGTTATATAAGTTCTTCTTGTCAATTCGACTTGATATCCCTAACCTTCTCCGCTCTTTCGATGGCGCGACGCAGAACCGGGCTCTGCTCCGTGTACCACGTACATGGGCTCGGAACTATGTTGCCGCGCCCTTCCCAGTGGCAGCAACTGGTGCTAACACGTAAGCAAACGGTTCACGGGGCGTAGGGGGCATTGGCAGGCACGGCGCTGAGCTGGGGTGAAGGGGAAATGGACGAAAGGCACCAAGGGGAACATGGTTGTGTTGCTGGGGACAGGAAGCAGGGAAGCACAGATTCTACAGCTGCCTGGCTCATAGGTCGCGCACTTTGCGATGTAAGGGACACGCTTATGTCTTGTGTGTGGCCGCGCGCGCTCCTGTGCTGCTGCTGATTGCAACATGGGGACCTGCTGTGACTGCCAACCCTGCCAACCCCCCTTGTGCTCATCCCTGTGCCTCCCCCACTCCCATGCCACGGTGTGTCCCACTGCACTGCTGCAGGCTGGTCCAGCGCTGACACCGTAACCCCTGTCCTCAACGCACTTATAATTTGGCGTAAAGCTGCTCAGGACGGAGCCGCACAGCGTCCCAAACACCAGTAAGTGGCCCATGGGTCACCCAGACCCCAAACACTCCCTTCTCTTAGATCATCGACGTCTCCACCTGCTCCATCGCTCCCCTATGCATGCCGCTTCTACTAGAGGTTCGCGCCTCATGAATGCAGCCCACCAGGCCCTCACAGCCTCACCTCCTGCAACCGCTCCTCCTCCAACCACCCCCTCCCCGCCGCCACTTCTCTCTCCTCTCCAACGCCTCCCTTCCTCCTTCGCCTCCCCCTCTTCCTCGTTCAAACCACAACCTCACAAATTAATG